AAGAATGTATGCAATGTGTTAATTATTGAAACTGTCCTACCAATTTGGTTTGAAACTGTCTCATTGGTATTTGTTTCTCAGTAAAATTATGGGAAAAAAGAAAAGAAAAAATAAATGATACAAAATTTCACTAACAAAAAATAAAATAAAATAAAAAAATAAAAAGACAAAGGGGTTATGAGTTGTGAAACTCCCAAACTAGAAAGACATCACTTCATGCTCTGCGTTGGCTTCATCACACTGCCTGATACTTACTGAATCCGTGTCACACTGTGAGAGCCCTGCTAAGTGCTGAAGAATCAAAGATAACACAACATAGTACTTGCTCCTAAAAACCTTAGAGTTACTGTGAAAGACAAGGAAATATATATAACTGTGAATCAAGGACGAGAGCGATAGATTCACTGGGTGAGGAAAGTGCTGCGGATATTCAGGGGAAGCTGTGATAACTTCCAGAAAGGAAGCCTCGTGGCGGGAGCTAGCCTTTGTACTAATCCTTGACACATGCAAAAGTGGCAGGATTCAGGCCAAGGGCTGAGAAGTAAAATAGCATGTGTGCAAGAAAATATAAATCTCATACAAAATTGGGAATACTTTAGCTATTAAAGAAGATGGAGAAGATAAAAGGGAAGTTCAGAGTACATTAGAAGTAGGCTGTGGAAATCATAAGTGTCAGTGTAAGCTATTTAAGCTTCATTTTATGGAGATTAGGAATTTTGGATATTTAGGGACAAGACATTGGTACATCTGGTTGTGCTTTGGAAAATGAAGTGGAATGGGAAAAAAAATCTAAGAGTAGGGAAAAGTCACACCAGCACTGCAGAAGCTCAAGTGAGAAGTACTGAGAAGGTCGTAGCGATGGTGTGAGGAGGCCAGAAGCAGTGTCAGGGACATGGGGCAGGTGAACTCAGCAAAACTTGCTGGTTAGCTAATGACAGACGGGGTCTAGACTGCACGGTTTTGAACTTGAGAGATACAAGGAAACAGAAGGCAGGACAGCAGAGTAAGGATGTTCAAAGGAGTCAAGAGGAGCCAAGAGTTGCTCTGACTAGGAAATGTGAAGTCGGTGAGGAGTGTTGGGCATAAAAGTGGCAGTGCCCTGCACTTAGCTACAAACGTCTCCAGTTTAAAAGATGACAGTGGGAGCTTTTAGGGTGGATGAAAATGTCACGCTTGGAATGTCATTAAGCCTGGCAGGTGCATCCCCTCATCCATGAAGGGCTACCCTGTGGGAGCAGAGCTCCCATCTCAACCTCGCTGCCCTCTGTGCCCTTCTGCTGCAGTCAAGCCACCTCCCAACGCCCTGATCACTCATATGTGCATTTTGCCTCCCTCAACCCCCCAGCTCTTTAAGGGCTGGGGCTGGGCATTATCATTGTTATAGAAGAACAAACTGAAGCCCCTTCCTGTAGGAAACAGCACTGTGTCTTTTGCAAATTAGATGTTTCTTAAATGTGTATTAAATGAGTGAATAAAAAATAACCATTGTGGGGCCAGCGAGATAGCTCAGCAGACTAAAGTGACTGTTTGGCAAGTGCAGGGACCAGGTTTTGATCCTGGGTCCTGCGTGCCCCACAAGCCCCAGCCCCCGGGCAAGCTGAGCCAGCGACTGAGTCCAGGCATGGTGGTGCACGCCTGTAATCCCAGCACTGGGGAGGCTGAAAACAGGAGGATCACTACAAGTCCAAGCTGCGTAGTGAGACCCTGTACCAAATACATAAATGAATATGAATATGAATATGAATATATATATATATATCTCCATTGTGACCATATAACGTCTATCACAACCATCAGCTTCATCAACATCTGTTAATTTATAGCCATGAAACCTGACTAGCACTATCTCTAGCGTATTTTCAGTTCTCAGTGATTCTTTTGCCAAATGCAAGAGGTAATACCGGCACTGCCTGATCATCTTCTGAACTCACAGGTAATTGTGATTCTCAGGGACATTGCAAGGAGATTGTTCTTTGCAAACTGGATGTATCATAGTCCAGGAGCAGGCCAGAGAGGATTCACATCCGTCTCCAACCCCTGGAGCTACTGCACCAGCCTGAAAGCTCATTTTTTATTTTCTCCTTTTGAGGTGTCCACTCCTACCTGCCCTTCCCCAAGTCTCAGGGTGGAAGTGTGTGCTTGTTTCCTTCAGGGAGAGTGACTAAATGTAGTTTCCCTCCAGCTGTTTCTGCAGCCCACCCTCTACCCCTCAGAATGCAGGGGAGGGGTCTTTCTGTCCTTTTGCCACAGTAGAATTTCCCACCAGCCTGCCCAAAAGCACAGCCACCTGCAGATTAATGGTCCCCCGCCACATCCCTGCAAAGTCATCTTGCCAAGCCTGGCATGCTGTGGCCCCAAAACAAGCGCCTCATCACTGGAGGTGCTGTCCCTGATCGATGGCAACCTGCTGTGTTTTTCAGGCTGTGGTGGTGACAGATGGGGAGCGCATACTCGGCCTGGGAGACCTGGGCTGCTACGGCATGGGCATCCCAGTGGGCAAGCTGGCCTTGTACACAGCGTGCGGAGGAGTGAACCCACAGCAGTGCCTCCCTGTCCTGCTGGATGTCGGCACCAACAACGAGGTAACAGGCTGTGTAGGTGAAGAGCTCTGGGGCCAGAAGAGGAGAGGGTGGAGGGTGGGGAGATCGTTTGTGGGGTGACTGCCTCTCTACAACAGGGAGCTGCTTCTTTCCTAGCAGCCTTCGCCTCCACACGTTCACCCGCCCTTCCACTCCCACCCGCTCCCACTTTTGTGTCCTTTGCTTCTCCCTCCGCCACCTTGAGAACCTCCGTGCCTTGATGCTCCGGCTTGACTTTCCCTCTGTCCTGAGCCTCCATGACCCAGTCCCCAGCCTCCATTCCCCCGAAGCCACCTGACCTACTGGAGGACGCAGTAGCCAGTGCAGGTGAGGGGACTGTGCTTTTCAGCATTTTGGAAGCAAGCTACCTCAGGGGAAAGATAAAACTCAAAGCCCCAGGGCTGGGGGTGGAAAAGTCTGAATCAGGCCAACGAAAGTCCTGCAGATGGCGAGAGAAACTAAGCCAAGCGTGGGTGAGACCGCCCTGCAGCATTCCGGGTGGTTTGGGATTGCTGCCGAATGCGTGTGATCCTGAGCTGTGTGCCTCTGCATTAGAAAATAGGAAAAGGCATCCACGAATTTCATTCAGTGAGGGTATTAGCCAGCTTTCTCCTTGCCGGGACCGCGTACTGATTACCTGGGACGCGGAAGGACGGTTTGCTTTAGCTCACGGTTGCGGAGGGCTCAGTGTACAGATGACTGGCAGAGCCTTCACGGCGGGAGGGCGTCCGGGGAAAAGCCACCCAGCTCTGCCGCGGTTGTAATTTCCGTGAGGCGGTTATGTCTAGGCTTTTCGCAGAGATGGACTGTCACTGATAACTCCTCACTTTGCAGATCTGTCTTGCCCCTCTTGATGGTTTCTTCAGGATAAATTTCTAGAAACAGAAGCATTGACACAAATGGAATGGTAATATTCTAGATTTTTGATTCCCACTGTCGAATAGGTAGCACTTGCTTCATTCTGCGCTGACCTCTTCCAAGGAAACTCGCCGAGATCTCAGATGGGCTTCCTCTTGCCTCGGCACCACACAGCCTTGTTTCAAGAAGGATCACACCAGTCCTAGTGAGGAGTGTTTCGCCAGTATTTATCCACAGATAGATACATTAGAAAGAGACAGGCAGACCTTGCTTAGGAGCTAAGAAATCATAGGGGAAGGGTGAGATCAGTGAGGGTGAAGGTACTGGGATTAGAACACTATGGAAAGCAAGGACCCTGACCCCAATTGCTTTTCTTTTTTTGTGTGGCTGGTTCAGCCCACCCTAGAGGCAGGGCTGGCATGGCATGTGGTGCCAGGGACTGAAGTACAGTCCTGCGTGCTTGCCTAAGCTTGCCTAAGCAGGTATTTTAGTCCAGTGAGCTATCTCAACAGCCCCTGACCCCCGATTTCTAACAAACCCACCAAGAAGAAAATGTCCACACGTAGCCAGCAGCAATCATAGCTCCGGCCCTTACATCCAGTTAAAACCTTATAATTCCAAACTATATGAGTTGGATCTATTCAGAGTGTAAGGGAAGCACCTATTCTTACTGTCTTTTTCCAATTGAAAAAAACAAGGTCCAGGAAATTTTAATTTGACACAAAAAAGCCTCCTGGAGGTAGCAGGACTTGGGTTCTTTGTGGTACCGGGGATTAAACTCAAGACTCTGTGCTTGCCAGGCAGGCACTTCCTCTACTGAGCTATCTCACTGGCCCTAGGACCTGTGTTCTAGTGGGAGGTTTTGTGACTCTCCCCAGGATCACAAGCAGCCTTTTTGCATGCCCCTGCCTGAGTTTCTACTGTTTTATAAGTAACTATCACCTCTTGGTGTTTAGAATTTTTATTCATAATTTTAGAAGAGTAAAATTTTCAAAAGAAAAAGCACCGGCATTTTTCTTACAAGGCTACCACTGTGTCCACTCCCAGTACTCCTTCTGCACGTGTGCGTAGATGTAGTCTCGCTGTGATCACAAGGTGCATGTAATTTCGTTCTATTTTTTAAATTAGGATTATTTTGTGAATGTTTTCTCTTTATTTATTTAATAAAAGTTTACTGAGGGTTTAGTAGGTGTCAGGCACTCTGCGAAGCTAGAGGAGACAAATGAGGTCCAGGCCTGGATGGAATATTCTAGTTGACAGCATTTCAGCAGTGTCACCTCATTGATCATTTTCATGGGTTGGTTCCTAGATCGACCCAAAGTGTCTGCCTCTCCCCTGAGGATTTCCCTCAGAACACAAGAATGCAATTGCACAGTGACCAACACTAAAAAGACGGTGATTTATTTCTTTTCAAGTGACTTTAATATGTCATTTCCCACACTATAGTTCTTTTAAAAATTGAATTCATTTGCAAAATTGTTCTCTCTAAAAGTCCAGGGACACATCTTTCATTCAGAGCAAGCCTGGGCTACAGGAGAGGAAGGCTTGGCCTTGGGTTTTTACCTCACACATCAGCACAGGAAGGCTGCTGTTGGGAGGGCTTTTAGTTTCAGAATAAGTAGGCCATCTGTGTGGGCGCCGCCGTGAAAACTCCTGAGGCAATAGGACTTGTGTTAGTCAGAGGCAGAGAGAACAGCCCTGCAGACCTCCTGCTGAAGGAAACTTCTGTTGTCTGCAGCCCTGAAGTGGAGTCACTTTTCCTGCCCACACCAAGGAGACTGAGAAGACTACTTACATTGGGTGGTGATTCAATGAGAAGAGGAGACCCGTGGTTACATTCCAAGGGACAAGGCAAAGACCGCATCTGTCAGTTAGAAACCGAATACGTGGTAGCCCACTGTCCGACTTAGAAGGGGCTCAAGCTGTCTCCTTCACCTCACTCATGTCACAAGGAAAAGAGGGCAAGTGCAGAAACGGCTTCCCAAGGACGGGCTCCGAGCCCTGCACTCATCCTGCTGTCCACGAAGCTCGTGGATGTCCCGGAAGCTCAGCTTACACTGCTGCCCTGAGCCTTCCGAGTCTTCTCCGGGCTCAAGCCTGGAACCACAGCAAATTCACTTCACAAGGAGAAGCTTCTAGTCCCGTGGAACTGATGGAAGAGGCACAGCTGATCTGGGAAGCAAGTGTGGGAGCATTTTATCAACAGAGCCTGGTACCTTGTCTGGAGATAGGGGGCGCAGAAGTGGACCAGTGAGGAAGCCTGGGGTTGGCCACCAGAGTGCCACAGGTGTCTTCTGGCCTTCCAGAATTGCCGTCACTGTGATAACTGACCATTCAGCCCTCACCGTGCGGCTGTCAGTGCTCCCTTCTGTGTGCACGATCGGTGGTGACACCCTTCCTAAGGCCTTTGCAGCCTACCCCTGGGTTTGACTGAGCAGAAGACATAACCGCTACCCTGGCGCATGACGCCAACAGCGTAAGTCCAGTGCCACAAGCTCCCAGGCCATAGATGATCGCGTAATATCCTGGTCTGCCTGTTGCTATGCAAGATGAATGGTTATTCTTTTTTCCTCAGAAGTTTACCCATCTTCCAGCTTCAATCTAATGCCCAGTGAAAAGAATGAAACGTTCAGAGCAGTTTTTCCACCTCAAAGAACTTGCATTACATGACAGAGATAAAATCATTATCTCTTTTTCAAAAAGACATGTTGGGCCATCCAGATAGCTCAGCAGATTAAAGCACCTGCTTAGGTAGAGTACAGTGTCCTGGCTTCAATCCCTGGCCTGCCATGGTAGTCCTGCCCCCGGGCATGCTGAGATAGCAACTGAGACTGGGCGTGTTTTCATGCGCCTGTAATCTCAGCACTTGGGAGGCTGAAAACAGGAGAATCACTACGAGTCCAATCTGGGTAGTGGGACCCTGTAGACGCTGCACTAAATAATAATAATTATTATTATTATATAATTATTATTATTATTATATAAAATAACAAGTGTTGGGTGTGGTGGTACATACCTGTAATCCCAGCACTTGAGAAGCTGATGCAGGAAGATTGCTGTAAGTTTTCAGCCAACCTGAGCCACACAGTGAGACCCTAACTATCAATCAATCAATCAATAAGAGAGAAGTTAACTATCTTGCCCAAAGTGAAAGAACCTGCTAAGTAATACTGTGTGACTCCAAATCCATGTTCATCCAATGCAAAGGCCACCACCCTTAGGTCACACCAAGGGCACTCAGAGGGGGAATTCTGGCCACTGTCAGTGGCCTCAGTGGGGCCCTGTTCTCTGCGGTACCATGCCCCCTAACTTTAAGATTTCTTGCTCTCAACTGATAGGTCTAGCCTATAAAAACACACAACAGCCATTAAATTTAATTCTCAGATAAACAACCATTTAACACAAGTACATTCCATGCAACATTGGGGACATACTTAAATCAATTTCTGCTACTTAATGCCTACCCAAAATTCAGATTTAACTGGGCATCCTGTATTTTGCAATACTACAGGCTGAAAACATCTCTCCTGCATTGTCATATGGCAAAGTCAGAACAGAGGAGGGCCACAAGGAAAGGGCTGCACAGCAGTGTTCTTGTGTCCAGGTCAGTTGGTTAGACAGTGCTGGGGAGATAGCTCAGTGGAATAAGTGCTTGCCTGGCAAGTCCAAGGTCCTGAGTTCAATCTCTGGTACCACCAGGGGTGGGGGTGGGGAGTTGGTGAGACACGGGGTGTGGTGTGCTTGTTTTGTCCCAGTGTTGGGTGAGGTCACCTGTGGCAGCTATCTTAGCGAAGCCCGCCAGAACAGGAGTGGGTGTGGCCTTCCTTCTGGCTCTATCCCAGCTTTCCCTGCTCTTTAGCCTGCTCTGCAAACTGAGAGCCTGGCTGCCTCGGTCTTCCCAGCCACTGCTGAACTCTTGTGGGAGGACCAGGCAGAGGACAAGGAGCTGCTGCTTAGGACACTGGTCAGCATGACAGCAAGTGACAGGGAGGAGAGAATGCTGTCATGAGACCCAACTGAAGCCAAGTTCAATCTCAGCTTAGCCGTTCTGGCTCTTGAGTTTGGGCAGGTTATTTAGAGCCTTGAAGTCCAGCTTTCTCACATGTAAAACAGAAAAGTGAAGAACTCAGATTTCTAGAAGGACC